ATAACACAGGTGAAGATAGTCTGACAATTAAGTGATTAAGGATTTGGAAATGAAGCTAACATTGCCATCTTTTAAAACATGTTCAGTTGAAATAGTCTGTCTGCTAATGAATATTTTATTTTTAGCATATTTAGATGGTGCAGATTCCAGACTGCGTCTCTTCTGACAGTTCTTTCAGATCTATTTCCAGGCCGTGTGTATTGTCCACATTTCTGCATATTTCTCAAGGGCTATGTGACTATGCCTCTGGAACTATGTCTATTGCAAAGACTTAGCAATTGACACTACCTTTTCTGGCATGAACAGTCATGAAAGCTGAGCTATTAATGCCTTCTAGACTTCTCTGTTCATGGACTTCTTAACTTTTCCCTTAAGTGTCCTTAATAGTGTGGACATTGAATTGATATCTCAGAAATCTGGGGCCAGCTTCCACACTTGTCCTCTTCAGGGAAGAAATTCTTTATCATTTTTGTGTCAGCAATTCACATGGTTTTTTTTGTTTTGTTTTGTTTTATTCTGCGGTAGGTTTATATCTGTTTTAACACAAAAAAGTTTAAATCATAAATTATAGGAAAAAGTATCACTTCTACTTAACTCACTGTTAATGAGTGAGGCTCTTTTATGAGTTTCTCTACTGTGGAGAATCCAGATGAGTGATAGACATCTAGCACAGCGTACATCTGTTTTGGTGTTGAGGCAATCTCTTAATATTTCAAGAACCTAAGCTCATAAATATCTGGATATATATATATATATATATATATATATATATATATATATATATACAGACTTTCCAGTTTTATGAGCTATGTCAATGCTTCCCAGGAGGAGGTTCAGGGTATTTTTGTGCAAATGTTGGTAAAATTTCAATAGTTATGTCTTCTGACTAAGAGCTGGTCAAATCACTCCTGGGATACAGCTGGTGCAAGAAAGCTGCTGTGATTTCACCAGCTCACCGAACATAGTGAGAAGATCAAGGGGCAGATGCTTCGCATCAAGGAGCCCTGGGTGATCACACTGTCTACTGTTCTGTTCATATTGTGCAATGGTTTTGATGCATTTTACCACTCTCACAGTATTGTTGGTCACAGATGTGATGCTATTTGTAATGTGTCCACATGTACCCCTGACCCTCAGGCTCAATTAAAAAACATCATTGTCCAGTTGGAAGTCTCTCCACCAGGTAGAATGACATGAATACCATTTAAATATTTTAGAAATCAGCACAGGATTTCTACATTATAAATATAAGAAATAAAAAAAACAGTTACAGGGCAAATTCTTTTATCGCCATGGGTTCTTTGAACTGTAAGGTAAGAAAAACTGGGTTAACTTTAATTCCTCAGTTATCTCTGTGTTTTTCCACTGGCTCATTTGGTGATTTCTTTAGTACAAGGTCTTCCAGTGCATTCTCCTGTGATGGGCTTAACTGGAGTAGGGGCAATGTGTCCACCTCTATTTGGGCTCAGAGGAAACTTCCAAAATGAGTCTGTTTTGCTGCCACATTGGTCAAGGGGAAAGTTTTCTCTTCTCAGTCTTCAACCATTCTTGGATGATTGTCCTTCAGTTGCTGGGTTGCCACCCGGAGGACCTTTCTGCTTCTCTCTTCAACCTTCAAGCAGAAAGTCCTTTCTATCTTTCCCCTTTGGAGGATTTCTGGGAGTCTTCCTTCTTTTCCAGTTTACACTTATCATCTGCACACTGACCTCCCTTTGCACTTTTTCTATCTACTCTTTCAGTGGAAAGCCTTTCTGCATAGGCTTTTTAATGTCCCATTCTCAGGTAGCGCCATCTTCGAGGGGTTTCCCCCTTTCATTTTGGCTAGAAGAGGGGAAAAATGGCCTTGAGGAGGGTAGAGAAAGCAAGGGGGAATATAGAGCCTACACACAGATTAAGATTCCAACATATAATCCTGACACAGAACAGAGTTTTGTCAAATTTTCTCCTGTTATTTTTAAGGTGATTTTGAAGAAGTAAGCCTTAAGCAATTCCTTGAAATTGCTTTCACCATCGCACCCGGGCTGCCCTTTTCTTTAGCTGCAGCCTCTTGCTACCTGGGACTTGACCGAACAAAGTTTGGAAACTTCAGGAGAAGTTTCAGATATTTGGGGTACCTTGGAGCCCTGACAAAATCACCCTAGTTCTTTCTTTGGGATAGGAAGAACACTGTTCTTTCTTGCCTTACGTTGATTTCAGGAAACAATGTCTGTGGAGGTGTCCTCTGCATTATAATACATCAATTTCACTGGGCTTGGTCTGAAAATATAGTTCGCCTCTCTTCTATGAGTCAGAGAAGTCCTACAATTGCAAGAGACTTTTAAAATTAGGGAAGAAACTTTTCCAGAAGATATTGTTCCCCTCTAAACTGCTTTCTAACCTTCTGGGATGCAGCTCAATCCTGGGCTTTTGTACCTCCAAAGCTAGGACCCTACATGTCTGGCTCTGACTGAGGGAGAGCTGGCACCAAGGTTTTCTTTGAATAATAAGAGTCCTTCACACCCTGTTGATTCAAATCAAAGGGATCCACATCAGTTTTCACATCTCACTGATTATTTTGTATATGGCGCTCCATGTTCATTTAGGCTCAAAATTGCATCCATATATTTCCTGCTTTTCATGATCTCTCTTGCTTCATTTACTCTTTTGAAATATTACCAATAATTTGGGTGCCCAATTGTTCATGAAGTGGTAGCTCAGTTTGTGCTGAAAAGGCATTTTTAGAAAAAAGGAGTTATTCTCCTCATCCTCATCCTCATGATGTTATATGTTGATTTCAAAAAGACCTAACCATCTAAACCCATTGAGATTGCAAATGATCTCTCCTTTCCCAAAGTTTGAATTAATCCCTCTTTAAAATCTTTTAGCAGTTTTTATTTTATGGTTGATGAGGTCTTTGCCAATGAGTTGCAATAAGAGAACTTTGTCTCAGATAAGCTCGTTACCTAGGGAGCTTGAATGGAACAAATATACACAAGGAAAACTAAACTTTTAGTTCATAGACCAAGAGATTTGATTCAACTGGTGTAGTATTTTGCATTAATGGTTGTATCAATCAAAACTGAGGGTGCCATTCTGGGATCAGGGTGTGAAGACATACATTTTTAGTCTTTTATTACAGTCTTCTGCTGTCTTGCTTTTCCTTTTATAGCACACATTACCTGCACTCCTTCATTGTCTTAGAGGAAACTGGTCAAATTCACCCTGTTGATATGTGGGCTTCATGTTACTTCATTATTTGTCAGATCAATTGATGCTGGACATGAGGGGAAGACCCAAGTGATAGCACTGACCTAAAAATGTCTAGCAAAGCTTGGATCTGGCAGTGCTCTGGGCCACTGCTAGTATACAAGAAGGCTTTTGTGTAAATTGTAAGGAAACTGCTTCTTTGGGCCGACCTGAATTACAAAAGACACCCCTTCTTCAGGGTGAATGCAGCTTCTTTCAGAGGCTGGGCTGAATTTTGTCCTCCTCAATTTCCCTTTATTGGGTTTCTTTGTGCAGTGTTCAAATGCATACTCGATGGAGGTCCTGTCAATGCTTTGGGCAAGAGTGTTGCAAGAATCCCAACATACACAAGCCAGAAGTCAGATAGGATCAAAGAGAGGGGAAGGCAGCAGTAATGACAGACTCTTTCTTCCTGGCAATGATACTGGGTGCTAACAGGGTGGGAAGAGGAAGAAATTGGAAGTGTTGTAAGGGTAAGCAATGGACAAGGCTTTATTTCCTTTTTCTGTACAATTTGCTTAGAATGTCAATTTTGGAGGTTAGAAGGAGACATGCTGTCCATGTCTGCATCAGTCTAGTCCTGAAATATAAAACTTCTGGAGATGTGGGATTTGCAGTTGGCACCCTTCTTGTTTCCTGAGAGAAAGCTAATCTTTGGAGAGGTTGAAGTATATGTGCATAGTGAAGAAGAGGTGAGACATGGGCAGAAGGTTCACTCTGGTTTCCCACCTGCTCTTTTGCCTTTGGGTTTCATAAGACAGCTCTGTAGCCTTTTTTAAATAAATATTTACCCTACGCCTCCATTCCCAGCCTAGTTCATGTTTGTTCAGATACTTTTCCAGTACACAGAGTTCTTCTCTGCCATCTTAAATAGAATAATAATAAACCAGATTAAAATTGTGACATTAATTTCACAAATATTTAGTGAATGCATGCAAAGCACTGTGCTAGAAAATGGGAAAACAGTGGTGAACAAGGTGTGCAAGATGCCTGCCCTTGGGGATCTTACTGTCTAGCTCAAATGCTCTTAAATTTTGGTGCAATTATGAGGACCTTATGAATCATTGAGCTATATGGGAATGGCTCTTTACCCCTACATCAAATAACTGCATTCTTTTGTGCTTTTTTAAAAAAGATTCAATCAATTTTTATGTTTTCCTTGTTGATTATATCTATTAGCTTTATTGTTTTTATTATTTCTGTCTCTCTCTCTCTCTCTGGCTCTCACTCTTTCTCCCTCTCTATTATTTTATTGTGCAGCTAGGTATGACATAATCAACATTGTTAGAATTGTTGTGTAAAGTAAGAATAGTGTATAGTTATATATGGAAAGAGTTCTTTTATGTAAATTGTCCACACACCTCAGTTTATCCATTTTGGTGATGCTCAGTGGTCTTTCTTATCTTCTTCCTGATTTTTATCCATGTCCTAGAAATGATTTCTGGAGACAGTGTAAGGAATGCTGCCTTTAAAGAAGTCACAGTAAGATGTTATGACATGTCAAGCCTGAAAATTATTTCAGTGACCTGTCAAACCTGAAAATATTTGGAAAATATATAATCACTGAGAAGTTTTAAGCTGCCTGATATTACTTACACCTAATGAACAGGAAATTGAATTTTTGTTCAGCAAATATTCACTCTATTTCCTCTCTCCCTTGTGATGAAATATAATACTTCCCTGCTTCACTAACTTTTGGTTTGACCATGTGACTTGGTCAACAGAATGTGAGTGGATGAAATGCAAGCTGAGGCTTAGCTTGTCCTCCAGCATGCTTGTGATTGTGCAGAAAAGAACATGTCAAAGATATTCACTGCTGCTGCAGCCTGATTGAAACATGTGGAACAGACACAAGCCTAATCTCAATCTTGAAGCCCAACCACCCAACTCTCAGCCTGAAGTAGACATCCTGGCCAGTCTGCAATCCATAAGTGAGAAAAATACATGCTCGCTGCCATAAATTTTGAAGTAGGTTTTTTTTTTTTTAACACAACATTATTGCAGCAATAACTGTTTGATACAATGAATTCAGGGGGCAAAATAATAAGAGTATTGTGGTAGATATGTCCATAAATATGTTACCTTCAATGGCAAAAGTGACTTTGTGTTTCTGATTAAGTTAAACATCTTATGTGCATAGTGAAGCAGAGGTGAGACATGGGCAGAGGGTTCACTCTGGTTTCCCACCTGCTCTTAAGGCACCTCTGTAGCCTTTTTATAAATATTTACCCAACTCCTCCATTCCCAGCCTAACTTGTGTTTGCTAAGGTAGAGATTTTATTCTGGGTTGTCAGGCTGAGCCCAATATAGTCACAAGGGTCCTTATACTAGGGAGGCAGGAGGCCAGGGTAAGAGATGTGACAATGGCAGTAGGGTGATGTGGCCATGAGCCAAGGAATGTGAACAGTCTCTAGACACTATAAAGGGGAGTTTCTTAGAGGAGATCAGCATTGTGCACACCTTGGTATTAGCCCCGTAAGAGTCATTTTGGATTTCTGACCTCCAGAACTGTAAGATAATACATTTTCATTGTTTTAATACATAAAGTTGTGGTAATTTATTGTGTCAACAATAGGAAAATAACACAAGACACTACCAAGATTAAATAATTACCATTTCTCTCTGCTACAGAAAAATATTTATATTTAGAATAATACATTATGAAATCTTCCTGTTAATGTATTCAGAAAATATCCTTTCTTGAAGCCAATCACCTCAGTGGATTTCCATAAACTCTTCATTTAATATAATAGAACAATCAAGATGGTAGCATTATATAAAAAGTGGATTGTGAGATATCATCCCAAGGAAGAACAAACATGTAATACAAAATAAATCCTTTTAACTTTGTATTTTCAGGGTATGGAAGAGTGGGGTCCAAGTTAGGGAAATATTAAAAATATAAAATATTTTATAAGATAGATATATTGCTTTTAAGTAATATGAGTATCAAAAAATAAATTAATAAAGAATAAGTAGGGATTCCTAATTATTGAGGTTTGAAAACTATACCTGTCTATACCCCACTTGTAGCAATTTGGTTCCAGAAATCACTAGAGGGATTAGAGGTTAAGAATCTATGTTTGAAGCATTTTTTAAAAATTATCATTCATTTATAATTTTCAAAGAAACATACATTAAAGTATGGAATAGTTTCTCACCTTCAGGAGATTAAATAATCTCACCTAGATTGAGCAATAATCACCATTTTGCTGTATTTATGTATTTTAAATATTTTTATCATGAAAAGTTTCAAATAGAAAAGTAAGAGAATGTGGCACAGTGAACTGCTATGTCCCATTGTCCAGTTTCAACTCATCTAAGTTTGTTGTCACCGGTACCATTGCTCACTCTCCCCAGACATTGTCTTTTAAATAAACATTTCAGCCTGCACTGTGAAATGATAAAGGAGTCTTTTATAAAACCTAACCACACTGATAGCATCACACCTAATAAAACCAACAATAATTTTTTAATATGTTCACAGAACAAGCTCAAAATTTGTATAATCTATATTTTTAATCAACTCCATAGGAGATTTCCTGTTCTTCTGTGGTTTAAATGACTGCTTTAAGCACTATTTTATAATGTACATTTTGTTATGGAGGCGTGAGGAGAGTTTTGTAGATTTAAAGATGCTCAAACTCAGTTCATTCTTTGAACTGTTTCATATATCCACATTGGATGTTTATTGGCATATTAATATTGGATATTGATCAATTAATTATTAAAAGATTAGCATATTTTATGGGAAGATAGAGAACAGGTGAGAGTCATGATTTCTGACTTCCAGGAGATTAAAGGTGAAACAAAGCAAAAAGAACTGAATAGGAAGAGGGCATAGCTTGAGATGGCAGGTGACCATGGGAACAGGGTGGGGACCAGAAGTCAGAACACACACTATTGCCAGAGGCAAGCAGCAGCTCTGCATCCTGCGTTGGTAAATTCATCTAGTAGGATCTTAAGCCAGGTGACAGTCAGGCAGTGTGTTAGGAATTCAGCCTGAAAGTGAGCAGGGTTGAGAAATTCCAGTGGAGACACTGGAAATAAGACAAAGGCTAGCAAGAACTGAGGCTTGGTCTCATACCCTGCCCAGAACCTCCTGAGCACTAAGCATTGTGTGCACACTCACACCAGTAGAGAAATACTTCATGTGTGCATTGCCTATGCTAGATGTACCTCTCCTGTCAAGGCAGGAAGTGACCTTGAAATGGCTGGAAGTGGGGGTCCCTGCAGGATACCTGTTTGAAAGCGACACCATGGGGCTGAGGAAAAGGTTTTCATTCAGGTCCTCACCAGAATAGATTTGCAAGGTGCACCTCCTGCTCATGAGGTATTTCTGACTTGCTCTCTGAATGAATCTGCTATTTGGACAGGTGGGAGTGTCATAAAAGGTAGCCATAGTGGAGAACAGGAGCTTTATCTGTTCTCTCTCAGGCCCACCCCATAAGAGAGATGAGCACACTGGGAAAAGAAGGGGTGGGGCAGCAATGCCAATGGAGGGTGGGGCAGGGCTCCCTTTGCTGTGGGAGAGTTTTGGGATAAGCTCCTGATTGCTGAGCCAAAGTTGTGAGGTTCATCTGGAGAGGCTGGATCGGAACCTAGAACCTCCAAATCCAAGACCTCATGGGACCCTGGTTCATTCTTTTCCAAATATAAAATTGGAGTAATTACTGATCAAACATGCCTCCGAGATGAATAATGAAAAGCTAATAATTGTTTTCCTTCCCTTTTAAAGAAACACACCACACTCAGACGCCCATTTACAGATATTTTCAGTTAAAATGTCACATAATATTTGTTATATCAGCGGGAGAATGGAAATTGAGTTGGCAGTGAAGCATCGAAGTGACAACTGTTACCTTGGAAACTGTAGTAAGCAATCATAATTACAATTAGCAAGACTCCCACAAAGTGTACATAAATATTCGTGTGCCAGAGACGAGTGCCACGTACCAGACAGCAGAGTAAACTGTGTGCCTGTCGTTTCTTTGACACGTCCTTGTAGATGTTAAGGTTCTGTTAAGAGATATTGCAGCTTCTTTGAATTTAGGTGAATATATTTCCTCTATGTGCTGGTTTGGGGGCTTGTAACATAACGACATTTGACATGTAGCTGATTACATAGAAACTTCAAGTGACCCTTAGTTGAAGTACAGCTAATCTTGAATGGACTTTTAAACAAAGCCTGATCTCAGAAGAAAATAAGGCAATTGTAAATAATAAACGGTGCTGTAGCACAATTACGAGGGTGCCCTGGGGAAAAGTGTTGAGACACAGAAGGAATGGTGAAAGCGTATGATTTGATCATTCTCTGCTACTTGACTTCTGGTTTCTTCATTATTGCTGTGGAAGTGTTGCCTTTGATTCAGACTTCTCTGTCGAATTGAAAGAAGCTGGAAGAAAAGTGAGTGATAGATTTGTTCTCGCTTGGACACATCAGGAGTGTCCTGTCCTTTGTGAATGCTTTCATGAACAAGGGGAAAAAGGCAGTTAAGTCAGGAGTGTGTTCTGGTCTGTATTTCTGAGCACTTGTGGGAACAAAGCTTTGAAAGTAAATATATCTTCCTTGGAAAACCATTGTTGCTTGCAGGGCCACAGGGCATGCCAAAAACTCCATCCTCTCGCGCACAGTAGAGTTTTCTGTTCGGCTTGTCTGAGCATGTTGGCTGCCTGGGGCTCTCCAGATAAACACGTGTTGTTAGCGGTTGCCACGATGTGAGGGGCAACAAGGGGAGGAAATGTTGACATGCTTCCTTTGAGAGCGGAGGCCTTGACCTGAACTTGAAAGAAGTCTGCTAAAAATGAGTAAAAGGAAATGACCTTGGCATAGACACGAAAATAATTGGAAGAACTCATATTTTGATCTGTAAGGATGGTGTTGGAGGAGAGTGCGTGGAAGCAGGGGCAGTGAATGCCCCACAAACAGCCCTCCCCTCTCAATGACATCACGTCTGCACCTGTCCTTACTGGAGCCCCATTTTTTTTTCTAAGTAACAAAGGCCAAGCCATATACGGTGCCCTGCTCTGACCTATGAGTTATGAACTCACACCTGCTGTATGGATGATTCTGCTCTTTCTGGGGGTAGTAGCTCCTGGAACAAAAGGCAGCTAGAATGCTTTGTCTCTACTTCAGGTTTCCAATTCTTATCACTCCAGGCTGCCTGCCCCAGAGAATAAAAAGTGATTGGTCTGGGGTCCCAACAGCCACCACCATGTTGCAAACCAGACAAGTGAAGTGTGTTAACGTTCCCTCATTACAGTTTGATCCAAGGTAGGGAAATAAAGTTATTGCAGTTAAAATGAGGACTTCAACCATTACTTTCTGCAGCAACTGGAAATGTAATTGCTTATTTGAAGCTTTAGTAAGTTCTCAAGGACAGAAAAAAGAATGCTGTCAGGGTTTCTTCCTTGAAACAAACCAATAAAAAACACCTCTGATCTAGCTGGGGAGAGGGATTCAGACTTCCAATCTATTAGTAAAGCCTATGATACCAACTGTTACCAAATGTGACAATATGGAGCTCCACAGAAGTACAGCTAAGGGGACATTGGGGAGGGCCAAGATCTCTGGGAAAGGCTTTAGGTGATGGTGCTGGGGATGGCCTATATGACGGCAGAGTTTGCAGAGACAGACGCTATGTGTGTGTGAGGAGGACGGAGCAGAGTGCCAGGAGACTCCTACCTGGCAAGGAGCCAAGGGCACTGGAGCAGAACCTGTGACTTGCATCATTTTGAGAGTCTATTGCTGTATGTGAATGAGGCTCCAAACAGTGTCCCTGGGCTCTGGCTGCTCCCAATGCTCAACCTCCTGTTGGGAACCTGCTCCTGGAGGACTCAGCACCACTCCCATTCTGAACTCCACAACTTGACTCTCAACAACTTTCCTATTTAACTTCTCTATTCTTCCTGTTTCCCTTCTTGTTTCTTTCCCACATCCCTTTGTTAACCCAAGAATACAGTGATTAACTATAGAGTATAAATATTATAGTGTATTATCATGATTAATCCTTAAATAAAGTCCCCCGGAAAAATAACACCACACTGGAAATAGTAACTGCCAATAATAATAATAATAATAATAGAGGATCTACTATGTCCTTGGTACTTTGTCATTTTTTAAATCTTATGTTTATTAGAAAAATACATTTATATGGTAAAAATAAAATAGCGTAGAACAGGAGAATTAATGATAAAAAGCTATACTCTTTTACCCCCACCCCTTCTCATCCCAGTTCTTTCTCCAGAGGCAATCTCTTTTGTGTTCAAGCCTTCTAATGATTATCTCCGAACCTGTAAATAAGGTACTTGCATCTCTTGAGTTTTAAAAAAAACTTTAGACAATATATGTTGACTCTCAGACATGAAAGGCAAGGACTTAACTCACTTATATTATACTCCAGCCATCTCTTAACCTTTGCTTTCTCAAGATAGTTAACATTTCCATCTGTCCCAAAACCATAATGAATGAACTCTTAGGAACTTTTGCTATCGGTTGAAAACTGAAAACAGCATTTGCGCTCTTATAACCATTGAATATTGTTACTTCAAAGCCAGGTTGAAGGTTAGGATTGCATTTCCTTCTATTGTAACTTCAAAGCCAAAAGTTTTCTCTGCCTTTACTTTGCAACAATTGCTTAAAGTCTAGAATGCTTCACAAGTGAGTCACGGATTTCTCAAACATCTTTTGATGGTTGTTTCTGTTTCCTTCTCCCCCTGGGTTCTAATGAACTCATATTACACATTAATATTTAAAAGTAAAGGAATAAGTAGCCGTTGTGGATTTCCTCTGCCCTATAAGAAAAGTCTACTTAATCACATAAACAGACAGGTTAGGGTGCATTGCACACTTACCTCTGGGGTGAACAGACTGGAGTCCCTCCTCAGGTCAAAATGAGGAACACATATCTCTAGGCAAAAGCTTCCAAAAGAGTCTTTGCTTCTTCCAATAAGTAGTTTGTTCAATTTCCTTAAAGAGACCTCTGGAAATTTTGTTGGGGATAAATGTTGGGCTATCTATTGCAAGAAGGGAGAGGGAAGGGATATGGCGCTACTTAATGCACTGTTTTGTGTGTCGACATTCAAAGAACCTTCCTGATAGCCCAACCTGTTAGCATTCCCCTGGGTCTAATGTGCTGCTCTACGTTTGGAGTCTCTAAGGGCTTGGCAACATATTGAATTGCATGTTTGGGGTTGTGGTGCCACCTCTCTCTTTCACCTATTAGCAGCTTCCATTCACTTTTTGTCTTGCAAAAGTTTCTTGAAATCTCTCATTCATGAAAGCCATAGACTAAATGTTTGTGTTCACCCCTCCCCAATTTTGGGTATCTCTGGGTGGGGTGTGTGTAGGGGGGTATTTTTCAGCGTACTGGACTCTTTCTGGATCTCTCCCTTTCCGCTATCACATATGTCCAATCAGTAACCTGGTCTCATGGATGGACTAGTCCAGTGTTTCTCAACCCTGGATACATGTCAGAACACCTGGACGGCTTTGACACCCTCCATGATCTCGGCATCATTTCAGGTCTAAGAGAATCAGAATTTCTGAGAATTTAGTTCTGGGCATTATTATTATTAAAAAAAAAACCAAAAAACAAAAAACAAAAAACTTTTTATTTTGATTAAATTTCAAACTTGGAGAAAAGTTGCAAGAAAGTTTCAACTAACTGACAGATATTCTTGCTTCACCCCCCAATTGTTTACATTTTGTACTATTTATCTCATCATTTTATTTAACTGTTTTATTTTTTTCTGAATCCTTTGAGGGTAAGTCCTTTACCTCTCCATGTTCTTCAGTATATATGTCCTAAGGGTAAGAACACTCACTTTCATGACACACTAGAATTACCAAAATTTGGAATTTAACATAAATCCAATAGTTTACTTTTCTATCAGGAATATATATAAAGATGAAAGGATTGCAGTTCCTGAGTTTTTTATGCTTCCATTTGCCTGGAAAATTTTGTCTTTTCCTTTACTTTTAGCTGTTCTGAATTATTTTTTATTAAGTGTGTCTCTGGTACAGAATATATAGTTGGGTCTTGTTTGTGAACCAAGCATAAAATCTTAGCAAATGGGTTAAGTCTCTATATATCTCTTTTCTTTTTCAATGATAAAGGCATAAATATTTATGAGTGATCAACAGGAACAAAGATCATGTCATGTATTGGATGACATTGGGAGTCATTTTTATTATTTTGGACATTTGTTATGTTTTCACTTAGGAGAGGGATACACATAAGAGGCAAAACTGATGTGTCAGCCTTGACTCTGTTATTTTATTTTACACTATTATTATTATGTTTATGTTACATTTACTGTGTTTCTCCACATACTTTTTTTCTTTTTGATTTTAAAATTATTGCAGTATTTAGGATGATTTAAAGTTTTGTTTTAGAGATTGTCATTTTACTTAAAACTATTTTAAGATGCCCTTAGTCACACCCATTAGGGTGGCTACAGTTTAAGAAATAAAACAAATCAGAAAATTACAAGTTTGGTGGTAATATGAACTCTGTGTATTGTTGGTGGGATTGCAAAATGGTGCAACTTCTATGGAAAACTGTACTGTGATTCCTCAAAAATTGAATATAGAATTATTATATGACCCAGTGTCCTATTACTAACATATAACATATTATTTATATATGAGTAGCAGGATATATACAAAAAGAATTGAAAGTAGGGTCTCAAGGCATATTTGCACATGATGTTTATAGAAGCATTATTTGCAGTAACCAAGAGATGGAAGCAGCCCAAATGTCCATCAATGGATGAATGGATAAACAAAATATGGCACAGACATAACATAATGCTCTGCAGCCTTAAAAAAACAAAGAAAATCCTGCCAAATTCTACAACATGGATGAACTTTGAGGACATTATGTTAAGTGAAAGAAGCAGTTACAAAAAGACAAATACTAACAGTGGGAGGTAGGACAGTAAAGGGGGAAAAAGAATCAAAGAGGAAAACAAACCATGTTTAGTAATATAAATAAACAAATATGGCTGGAAGTACAACCCATATCTCAATAATAACCCTAAATGTTAATGGCTTAAACTCACCAATTAAGAGACACAGGCTAGTAGAATGGATCACAAAACAAGACCCAACAATATGCTGCCTACAGGAGACGCATTTGAAAGGAAAAGACATACATAGGCTGAAGGTGAAAGGTTGGGAAAAATCATATCACTCATATGGACTTCGGAAACAAGCAGGAGTGTCCATACTCATATCAAATAAAATAGATTTCAAGCCAAAGTTAATCAAAAGGGATAAAGAGGGACACTACATACTGCTCAAGGGAACCATAAACCAACAAGACATAACAATCATAAATATATATGCCCCAAACAATGGTGCAGCTATGTTCATCAAACAAACTCTTCTCAAGTTCAAGAGTCTAATAGACCACCATACCATAATCATGGGAGACTTCAACACACCTCTCTCACCACTGGACAGATCTTCCAAACAAAAGTTGAATAAGGAAACTATAGAACTCAATAACACAATTAATAACCTAGACTTAATTGACATATATAGAATATACCACCCAACATCAAGCAGTTACACTTTTTTCTCAGCAGCACATGGATCCTTCTCAAAAATAGATCATATATTATGTCACAGGGCAACTCTTAGACAATATAAAGGAGTAGAGATAATACCATGCATCTTATCTGATCATAATGGAATGAAACTGAAAATCAACGATAAAAGAAGGAAGGAAAAAGCATACATCACTTGGAGAATGAACAATAGGTTACTGAATGATCAATGGGTTATAGAAGACATCAAGGAGGAAATTAAAAAATTCTTAGAGATAAATGAAAACACAGACACAACATATCGGAATCTATGGGACACATTGAAAGCAGTTCTAAGAGGAAAATTCATTGCTTGGAGTTCATTTCTTAAAAAAAGAAAAAAACCAACAAATAAATGATCTCATACTTCATCTCAAAATCCTTGAAAAAGAAGAGCAAAACAACAGCAAAAGAAGTAGAAGGCAAGAAATAATTAAAATCAGAGCTGAAATTAATGAAATCGAAACAAAAGAAACAATTGAAAAAATTGACAAAACTGAAAGTTGGTTCTTTGAAAAAATAAATAAAATCGACAGACCCTTAGCCATGCTAACGAAGAGAAGAAGAGAGAGAACTCAAATTAATAGCATATGGGATGAAAAAGGCAATATCACAACAGACACTTCAGAAATACAGAAGATAATCAAAAACTATTTTGAATCCTTATACTCCAATGAATTAGAAGATAGTGAAGGCATAGATAAATTTCTTAAGTCATATGATCTGCCCAGATTGAGTCAGGAGGATATAGACAACCTAAACAGACCAATATCAATTGAGGAAATAGAAGAAACCATCAAAAGACTACCAACTAAGAAAAGCCCAGGACCGGATGGGTATACAGCAGAGTTTTACAAAACCTTTAAAGAGGAACTAATACCAATACTTTTCAAGCTACTTCAGGAAATAGAAAAAGAGGGAGAACTTCCAAATTCATTCTATGAGGCCAACATCACCCTGATTCCGAAACCAGACAAAGACACTTCAAAGAAAGAAAACTACAGACCAATATCTCTAATGAACCTAGATGCGAAAATCCTCAATAAAATTCTGGCGAATCGGATACAAAAACATATCAAAAAAATTGTGCACCATGATCAAGTAGGATTCATCCCTGGGATGCAAGGCTGGTTCAATATACGGAAATCAATAAATGTTATTCACCACATCAATAGACTTAAAAATAAGAACCATATGATCATCTCGATAGATGCGGAAAAAGCATTCGACAAAGTACAGCATCCCTTTATGTTCAAAACTCTAGAAAAACTAGGGATAACAGGAACATACCTCAATATTGTAAAAGCAATCTATGCTAAGCCTCAGGCTAGCATCATTCTGAATGGAGAAAAACTGAAGGCATTCCCTCTAAAATCTGGAACAAGACAGGGATGCCCTCTCTCTCCACTTCTGTTCAACATAGTTCTCGAAACACTGGCCAGAGCAATTAGACAGACGAAAGAAATTAAAGGCATCAAAATAGGAAAAGAAGAACTTAAATTATCACTATTTGCAGATGACATGATTCTATACCTAGCAGACCCAAAAGGGTCTACAAAGAAACTATTAGAGCTAATAAATGAATTCAGCAAAGTGGCTGGATATAAAATCAACATGCATAAATCAAAGGCATTCCTGTATATCAGCGACAAATCATCTGAAATGGAAATGAGGACAACCACTCCATTCACAATATCCTCAAAAAAAAAAATACTTGGGAATCAACCTAACAAAAGAGGTGAAAGACTTATACAATGAAAACTACAGAACCCTAAAGAGAGAAATAGAAGAAGATCTTAGAAGATGGAAAAATATACCCTGTTCATGGATAGGCAGAACTAACATCATCAAAATGGCGATATTACCAAAAGTTCTCTATAGGTTTAATGCAATGCCAATCAAAATCCCAACGGCATTTCTTGTAGAAACAGAGAAAGCAATCATGAAATTCATATGGAAAAATAAAAGACCCAGAATAGCAAAAACAATGCTAAGCAGGAAGTGTGAATCAGGCGGTATAGCGATACCAGACTTCAAACTATACTACAGAGCAATAGTAACAAAAACAGCATGGTACTGGTACCAAAACAGGTGGGTGGACCAATGGTACAGAATAGAGGACACAGAAACCAATCCACAAAACTACAACTATCTTATATTTGATAAAGGGGCTAAAAGCATGCAATGGAGGAAGGATAGCATCTTCAACAAATGGTGCTGGGAAAACTGGAAATCCATATGCAACAAAATGAAACTGAATCCCTTTCTCTCGCCATGCACAAAAGTGAATTCAAAATGGATCAAGGAGCTTGATATCAAATCAGAGACACGCCGTCTGATAGAAGAAAAAGTTGGCTACGATCTACAGTCGGTGGGGTCGGGCTCCAAATTCCTCAATAGGACACCCATAGCACAAAAGTTAATAACTAGAATCAACAAATGGGACTTACTCAAACTAAAAAGTTTTTTTCTCGGCAAAAGAAACAATAAGAGAGGTAAATAGGGAGCCTACATCCTGGGAACAAATCTTTACTCCT